TTATGTTGTCAGACCATACCTGGACAGTTTATTGAAATGACATGTTTTCATCGGTTGATGTGTACCTTATGTTGTCAGACCATACCTGGACAGTTTATTGAAATGACATGTTCTCATTGATTGATGTGTACCTTATGTTATCAGACCATACCTGGACAGTTTATTGAAATGACATGTGTACCTTACGTTATCAGACCATACCTGGACAGTTTATTGAAATGAACAAATGAATAAGATTAGGTTGGAATCAGCAATTTAATTCTTAACATTTTCATCACAAATTCACAAAATAGTCTTGTTTATAGTCTGCACTGTTTTTCAGAAGATTGGGACAAAAATTGACAAACTTTTTTTAGTAAAACTAAAAATTGACTAAAATTTTGTCTGTTGGCTCCAAATTTGGGTTCATTTCTAGAAATATTTAAGAATATATAAGAAAAAAGTCTGGTAATGAAAAAAAGTTAAAGTTGAAAATCCTTGTCATTTTATTTGTCATTTGCTGGGGAACATTCTGCTCTTAACTGAAATACAAATGTGTACAAAATACATCAGACAATAGGCTGAGCACAACATGGTAGAGCATTATTCTTTGTTCTCTTCACATGTTCTGCAGAGATTCCTGATTGCTGATATTGTCCTTTTAGCTCTGCTGTCAACTTTGTCGAGGGGAGCTGATCATATGAGGGATTACCCATTGGCGTCTGTCATTGGTGTTTGTGTTCCAGTGATCATTACATTAAATTCAATATCCAAATTATAGTTAAATGTACCTTAAGTTACCATGGCAACTGTTATCACCTTCATATATTTCTGTTACAGAGGAAATTCTTTCTGACAACAATGCCATTTGGTGGTCCATGGATGGAAGGTATTTTTGCTATGCTACATTCGATGACACTTTTGTAGAACAAGCAGCCTACACAGACTATGATTTCAGTGTATACGACAACGTAGTGCGAATACCATATCCAAAAGCTGGTGTATCCAATAACCCAATTGTTAAGTTAACACTATTTGACACAAGCACCAAAGAAGAATATACCATTAATCCACCTTCTGAACTACAAGAATTGTAAGTTGTCTGTTTTTTATCTTCAGTAAGTTCTTTATCAGACGTTTTGTCAGATGTAGGATTATGCTTTCTTTAACTTTTGCAAAAACAATTTTTCTATTCCTGCCACCAGAGGGCACTGTTTTCAAACATGGTGAATTGTTCCTATTTAATGAGCAATTATCTCCAATGTAAAAGATTGTCAAGCAAATGTCTAAAATGAAGAAGCACCTATAGATTTGTTTGTGATTGAATTTTCATCATCCTAAGCCCTTTATGACCAGCAATTTTTGTTCAATGCAAATACATGTACCATTGAAATTTGTCATCAATAGGTAGCCATAGTTAAATAATAAAAAATCACAGATGAAAAGTTCCTGGGCTACAATTGTGGGGTTTTGAGGTTTAAGATTTGATAAGAATTTGAAACTAGTGACTTTGAAGAAGAATTGTTTCTCTGGCTTTAACCACATTTATAAATTACTCCCAGTTTTCAATAACTTAACTAAAATGTACAACACAGAACACTGCAAGTTTTAATATTCTATTTTACCTGCTTTTTGACTCCCATGTGCGAAGCACAAAAAGGGAGTCTTTGCAGTTAGTGTGTCTGTGTGTGTGTGTGTTCCACTGATATCTCAAGAACCATACATCAGTTTTTGATGAAACTTGGTGCATAGATGCTCTGGGCCAATGCGCAGATTTGATTAGGTATTGGTAAAAATCCATGCATATTTAGCTGATTTTTAGCTGTTCCACTGATATCTAAAGAACCACTCATTGGATTTTGATGAAACTTGGCACACAGATGCTCCAAACTAATGCGCAGATTTGATTAGTTTTGGGTAAAAATCTGTGCAATATTAATTACCTAATTTGCATAATGATTAATCAATTTTCGGCTTTTCCACTGATATCTCAAATACTAATCATCACATTTCAATAAAACTTGGTACATAGATGTCATAGGACACTGCACAAACCTGATAGTTTTTAGGGTAATATCAGTATATATTAATTAGCTAATTTTCATAATTAATTTTCAGCTTTTGATATTTCAAGTAGTAATCATCACATTTCAATGACACTTGGTACATAGATGTCATAGAACACTGCACAGACCTGATAGTTTTTAGGGTAATATGAGTATATATTAATTAGCTAATTTGCATAATTAATTAATTTTCAGCTTTTGATATTTCAAGTAGTAATCATCACATTTCAATGAAATTTGGTACATAGATGTCATAGGACATTGCACAGACCTGATAGTTTTTAGGGTAATATCAGTATATATTAATTAGCTAATTTGCATAATTAATTAATTTTCAGCTTTTGATATTTCAAGTAGTAATCATCACATTTCAATGACACTTGGTACATAGATGTCATAGGACATTGCACAGACCTGATAGTTTTTAGGGTAATATGAGTACATATTAATTACCTAATTTTCAGCTTTTGATATATCAAGTAGTAATCATCATATTTCAATGAGACTTGCTACATAGATCTTCTAGGATTATGCAGACACTTGATTATTTTTAATTGGATATTAATTACCTAATTTGCATAATGTTCCACTGATATATAAAGAACCACAAATTGGAGTTTAATGAAACTTTTAAAGAGAACTATGCAGAAACCCAATTAGTTTTTGGTAAATATTTATGCTTTTTAATCACCTAATTAACATAATTAATTGTTACTGATATCTCAATTACTGATCATCACATTTGAATAAAATTTGGTACATAAATGCTCTAGGACAATAGACAGGCCTGATTAATTTTGGGTTAAAATTTGTTCATATTAATTCTCTAATTAGCATAATAATTCATAATTTTTTTTGTTCCGTTTTGTTCATATTAGTTACCTGATTTACATAATTAGTTTTCAGCTTTTCCATTAATATCTCATGTTCTAGTAATTTTGAATTAATTTTTAATGTGTCTTCAATATTCTCAGCACATGGGAGTTCTTTCTAAGCTTTCTTTGATTGGTGTTATTTTTGAAATCTTTCCCTATTATCAAAATGAATGATGCCAAAATAGAGGGATTTTTAGAATTTCATTACCGGTACTGGCTCTTTTTTTACATATTGTAATGGTATAACCGTATATGTCGGTTAGGTAATGTAGAAGAATAATGGAGTGATGAGCGGAAACAAAGTACCTGATAGACCTGCAATGCTCAGTCAGAGTGATCACTTGCTGTCTTGAGTTTGAATTCCTTGTATTGCTACTGTATAGAAAAAAAAGTCTACTTGAAAATTGAGAAGGAAATTGTGCTCTAAGAGTTTTTATAGGATATATCTTGTCTGTTTGTCTGAGTAATTATTTGATACTGTTTAGGAGTTAATTACTGTGTTTTATGTTCACTTATTTTGTTGATGGCTAACCACGCTAACTTAAAACCCAGTAAGTATGCAAACTTAACAACAGAAGGTATTATATTCTTCACAAAGCAGTGACTTGAAAATGTTGCTAATATCCATGCAACATCAAATTGCTTTAAATTGCGAAAATTAATTCCAGCAAAAATAAAGTATCTTACAGTATACCTACCAGTTGTAAATTGTCCCCCTCTACAGTGCTTACTGAGAATGCAAACTAATGTTGTTTTAGGTTGCTCTTATAAACTATAAAAAACAATAGAAATAATCTTAACTTTGTTTCTCAGTGTATTTTGAGCAAAGACTTATTTTCTTGTAACACTGACATTATGAATTATCAACAGGGAAGACTTCAAAGGCCTCTACTTATGGTCTGTTTCATGGTCACAGAGTAATTATTTTACTGTGATATGGTCAAATAGAGCTCAAAACCACCAAGTTGTGATGTTGTGTCAAGCAAATACTGTATGTGAACTCAGCTATGAGAAAAAATTGAATCATGGATGGTTAATGATGGTAAGCAACTTTTGTGTCT